TTCGTGCTGGCCAGACTCCATTCTACATCCTTGTCTACGTAGACGACCTGGTCTTCGCCATAGCAGACAGGGATGCACTGGCCTCCGTGAAGGCATAGCTGCTGAAGAGACACATCTGCACTGACCTTGGAGAACTGCGTCGTTACCTTGGCCTGCAGATCTCCAGGGACAGAGCAGCGTGCACCATCACCTTGACTTTGTCATACTTGGTGCGCCAGGTCCTTCAGAGGTTCGGCCTTCAGTTCTCCTCTACACAGCCCACCCCTCTGCCGCTAGCCCACAGACTCTCCGCTACTGTTCCCGAGGAGGCGGTAGAGCCGAGTGGTCCTTACGATGAGCTGGTGTGTTGCCTCATGTACTTGATGACTTGCACTCGCCAAGATCTCGCATACCCTCTCAGCATCCTGGCTCGCTTTGTGGCCACTGGCAGACACCGACCGCAGCACTAGTCTGCCGCTAAGAGGGTTTTGCGTTATCTTGCAAGTACATCGGGCATGGGGTTAGTGCTAGGAGGACGCAGGCCAGTGGTCCTTACTGGACACACAGACGCTTCTTGCGCAGACGATGCCGAGACTCTCAGGTCTTCCCAGGGCTACTGCTTTAGCCTTGGTTCAGGTGCCGTCTCGTGGAGAGCTACCCGCTCCTCGTCTGTTGCCCAGTCCAGCTGTGAGGCTGAGATCTATGCTGGTGCCATGGCGGCACAGGAGCTCCGCTGGCTGACCTTCTTGCTCACTGACTTAGGTGAGCGGCCTAGCTCTGCACCGGTCCTGTATGCTGACAACAGGGCCATGATCCTCCTGTGTCAAGAGCCTCGACTTGAGGGCAGAGCGAAGCATATTCAGCTGTGGTACTTCCTCCTGCGCGAGCTACAGCAGCGCCGCCAGGCTCGCGTAGTACACTTGGCCTCCGGTGCCAACACAGCTGATATCTTTACGAAGGCGCTTGCGCCTAAAGATCATCAGCGGCACTGTGTACAGCTCGGTCTAGTTCCTGTAGCCTCTCACTTGCTTGGACCTTGACTTTGTACTGTCCTATATATAGCGATGGAAAGTATTGTCCATATGTTTGTGACTTAGAGGAATTTTGCCATTGTAGGGGGTCATGGACATTTAGCCTTAATCTTCTGGTATGCCTAGTGTATGTAGGTTGGTGTGAGAGTACGACCCCGTTACACCACTTGGCCTTTTCTTATTTCCTTCCTTTTTCATTTCTCTTTTATCTCATCTCATTTGGTTTATCCTGCTATTATAATTATATCACCGACTAGGCTTGGGATGTACTGGTGCGCTATATCTAGCGTAATCCTGCCGTAATCCCTTAAAGCCAATAGCCTCGCGTGGCTATACGCAGGGTGATTCTATCTTCTAGAAGGGTCTATTCCCTTAGGATAAGATAAACTTGGTTACCTGATGTACTCTGGAAGTATAAAAGCGCCTTGTACTGATCGATAGTGGAACCTTTCCTGGACACATTCGATCCTGTGACACTTGGTAATCAGAGCTTTTCTCACTCGACCACGCTCAGCTAAGCAGCAGCAGCGGGGATCCTGCCTCGAAAAACCGCCGGGGGCGACCAATTCGACGCCGATTCTGGTAAGCACCAGCTCCGCGATTTTCGAATTACCCCCTCCGTGCGTGTTTTGAACAGGATGGCAACCTTCGACAACGCCGAGGTTACCCAGCAGCTCTTCGCGCGCATCGCAGCCCTGCAGGAGGAAATGCGAGCGGATCGCGAAGCGTGGCGAAACCAGTTCGAGCGAGTAACTCGACTCGCCGGAGCGCAGCACGAGACGACAACGGCGACGACGCAGCAGTCGCAGCAGTTTCTCGAGGCTCCGAAACCGCGCCCACCTGAGCCGTTCGATCCGAGCGATCGAAACTCCGACGCCCGCAGATGGATCGCCGGGATGGAGATCTACTTCGCAGCCGTCGGATGGAGCTCGCCAGTCTGGGACGGTCAACGTGTACGACTCGCGGCGACACTGATGCGAGGGCCGGCACTCGAGTGGATTGGCGGCAACAGTACTTTCATCCACGGTGAAGCCATGTGGCAGCAGTTCCGCGCCGACTTGCTGAAACGCTTCGAACCGATAAATTCGAGTTTCCTTGCCCGGGAAAAAATTCATCGACACCGACAGTTCGGGAGTGTAGCGCAGTACACGCAGCAGATGGAGGAATTTTATAACCGCATTCCCGACCTGACCGAAGGGGAAAAAGTACAATCGTACCTCGCCGGGCTGAAGACCGAAGTCAAACGACAAGTCGCAGCGTCAAACTACGCGAGCTACAGTGACGTCGTTTCGGCAGCGGAGCGCTTCGACATGGTCAACGCCGGAACACGACGGACGCACGTCGGCAGTACGCGACAGGGCGACCGCTCGGCTCACCCCACGTTCGCCGACCCGATGGAAGTCGACAGATTCGAGGGGCGGCCACGTCCGAAAAACACCAACTACACGTGTGATTTTTTGCGGGGTGCCGGGTCACCGAATCTTCGACTGCAACAAAATGAACAACAGATACTAGAAAATAACAATCTTGGTACATGTGGACAATTATTGCCAGGCGCAAGCAGCAAGTTACATCAACCCCAAACTAGTACCTAATCCACCGCCCTTTTGCCTTAGACACCGCCCTCACTCTCCTGGGCATGCTTTCCACCAGGTGGGTGCACACATCCGCCGGGATCTTCTCCCATTTCTCCTGCACCCGCTCCCAAAGGTCCAGCATACAGTGTGAGGCTTATAAGGCTTGGCCAGCTGCCGCTTGAGATGAGCCCATAAATGCTCCATTGGGTTGAGGTCGGGTGAGGAAGACGGCCACTCTAGCACCCCTGAATCTTACTCTCAAAGCCACTCCTGTACGATACGCGACTTGTGCTTCGGGTCGTTGTCATGCTGGAAGATAGTTTTTGAGGGTGTAAGCTGGTAAAGCTCAATCGTACTGTTGAGATCGTCCTGCAGTATACTCAGCGAGAGCAGTCCGTCCACCCTACCATATGTTTTGCTCATGAAACCCGCTCCCTTTTACGACATGCAGTCGTAAATTATCAAGCAACCGCCCCCGTGTTTGACGGTCTGCTTGATTTGGTGTCTTTGGAGGGCAGTCCCTTCGTGAACGCAGGCGTATGAGAGTCAGTCGGATGCAAGACGACCGATCTTGGTCTCATCCGCACAGAAAACTCGCTTCTAGTCGTCGACCGTCCAGTCTGCGTGGGCACGCGCCCATTCCAGCCTATCGCGTATGTTTTTCCGAGAGTGTCGCGGCTTCTTGGGATGCTTGATTGCGACAAGCCGGCTCCCATTGAAAGCGTTACGCAAGGTCTTAAGATGCAACGTGATGCCGCGCTGCTTCTCAACGATTTTCGCCACGTGAGCGGAGATTTCTGCCTCCTCGAGGGTAATCGACCGAACCATGCCGCGGCGAACTCTCTCTGTCACTAAGCGAGGGCGACCGGCTGAGGGCATCGTAGGACGCACGTCATCGCGGGTAGACTCTACAATCGCCTTGATGGGCTGAACTCTTCCCTATGGCTAGCTGTTTAGCGATTCAACGATTGCTCTACCCCCTCCGCAACAAGGGAATGATCTATGCGTAGAGCGCCTCATCTAACGGTTTCATGACGGCCTAATCATCGCAGCGGTCCTAGCCTATCTCCTGACTACTCGATAGTCGCGAGGGCAAGTAAGAAGAAATAGCGAGGTTAGGAAATAGATCTACTACGCTGCTTGGCCTAAACTGTCCGGATGCACCCACGCGGACGAAATCTCGTCCTCGGTAAAAAATCGACCCCTATAAAACTGAAACCAGCATCCGTCACATACAGTACAGTACTACTTTACATCCAACCCCGAAATTTGACTCGAAACTAAACAAAGAAGGCACCAAACCAGTACGAGAAATGTTTTAAGGCAATTATCCGGGCAATACTTTCCGTCGCTGTATATCTATCTCTGTACTCGGACTGGACTTGTGTCCTCTCTCAGTGGCTGGACTAGTAGTGCCGCCCTGATCTTGTTCTTGCCTTGTCTGTACTCCTTTTTGACTGGTCTTTAGACCCCTGTCTCAGTGGCTGGACTAGTAGTTCCGCCCTGAGCTGTTTGTTCAGGACCTGCCCCTATGCAGTCTAGGGGGTGTGTCAAACATATATATATATATATATATCTCATATTTGTATAGACTGTATAGGGTCACCTCTTAGAGGGTACAACACTCTTAGGTATATTCCCTTGTACTCTCATTCTTACTAACAATTCTTCAGTTCTAAGACATGATCCTCCTGTGTGAGGAGCCTCGACTTGAGGGCAGAGCGAAGCACATCCAGCTGCGGTACTTCCTCCTGCGCGAGCTCCAGCAGCGTCGCCAGGCCCGCGTAGTACACTTGGCCTCTGGTGCCAACACAGCTGATATCTTTACTAAGGCGCTTCCGCCTAGAGATCATCAGCGACACTTCTTACAGTTAGGTCTAGTCCCTGTGGACTCTCACTTGCTCGGACCTTGATTGTGTACTCTTTTATATTTATGCCTTCTAGACTGGCCTTGTCGCTTTTCTTCCAGTGGTCGGACTAATAGTGCTGCCCTGGTTTGCTCTTGTCTTGCTTGTACCCTTGCTGACTGGTCTTCGGGCCCCTGCCTCAGAGGTTGGACTAGTAGTGCCACCCTAAGCTGCGTATTTCTTGCTCAGCACTACCCCTTATCTAGCCTAGGGGGTGTGTCAATTTATATGTTGTTGTGTAGAAGTTATAGGCCTGATAGGGTATGTTCTTAGAGGGTACAACCCAAACCATATATCTCCCCTGTTCTCTCTCGTGTCAATCATTCATTCTAGCTTCTAACAGGCGGTAGCGGTGTAACACGCGAAGGAATGGAAAATTCCTTACAGTGGTGATTACGGTAACACATTGTGGCAAGGTACACCAAGTCATGGATCAGAAATGAAGTTACGCAAGTTCTATTTACGAGATATAAGACGCCATTGCTTTTCTCCATTAAAAAGACACAAAGTCATTTTTTTCTTTATCTGATATGATAAGACAGTGTCTTCTATCCGGGGTATACGGTAGGTACATCACGTTGACTACCTGACTAAGCAGAAGGCTAAACTAAAGAAACAAAATCTGTGTGAAGCTTGGAGGGCGTGTGGAAGTAAGGGTCCTTCGCGCCCAGCCAATGTCAAGGATTTAGGTCCCCCGCTGCTGCTGCTGCTGCTGCTGCTGCTACTGCTGGTGTAGCTGCTGCCGCTGTTGCTGCTGCGCATGCCTCGGTCACTAACGGACCCCTTTCTACATTTGACAAGTGAAATTATCTTATTTGCTGCTGACTCTAAGCTGTCCGCGGATGGCGCCGAGAGGGTACGCGGGTGTTTTCACGACGATGTAGAACTGCCGCGGGTCCTGCAGAATCGCCAGGATCAGTTGCTTTACAGTCTCACCCGATATAATCTTATCCTCGCTCGTCGCGCTGTACGTGCCGCTCAGCATGTAGTTGTTGCCCTGTGTCGTCCTCGTTACAAGCCGCTTCGCGTTGGGGTTGAAGCGGCGCCAGTTGGCCCTCTCGAAGCGCATGATCTCGGGCCCGTTGGAGCCGGCCGGGCCCACGTGGATGGCGGCGGAAACGGGCACCTCGGTGTTGGTGAGCTGCGACACGGTCACCATGTAGTTGAGGCTGAAGTCGCCGCGCAACCTGCAGCAATCAACCAGAGCGGGGCAAGGAAAGGGAGACGGCATGTGAATGTTGGTGGGCTGCCACACGGTCACCTATAGTTGAGGCTGAAGTCGCCGTTCCACCTGCAGGGAGGAGGCGGAGCGGAGAGAATGAGAGGGACAGACGGCGAAGAGGGGACGAGAGTCGGGCGTCTCCGAGTTGGTGAGCAGCGGCACGGTCTCCATAATTGAGACTGCAATCGCCGCGCCACCTGCGGGGTGAGGAGCGAGAACAGGGATAGGAGGAGTGAGGGTTGGGGGGAGATGCGAGGACCAAGGAAGCAGAGCGGGGTGGGAGGGAGGGGGGGACCAAGGAAGCAGAGCGGGGTAGGAGGGAGGGGGGACCAAGGAACCAGAGCGGGGTGGGAGGGAGGGGGGGACCAAGGAACCAGAGCGGGGTGGGAGGGAGCGGGGGACTAAGCGACATGAGCATGAGTCTCTGGTGGCCAGCCGGCAGAGTCTATGTCTCCCGCGAACTACGAAAAACGCGGAAAGGCTGAGACGTAGGGTCAGGGTGAGAGTCAGGAGCGCAATTCAGGAAAATAACCCCGTAAGAGTCAACCCTTCTTGAGGCACTCACTTGTAGACGACGAGATTGGCCCAGCCGGTGGCCTGCTGATCGCCCGTGGTGGCGACGATGTTGTTGCCGTCCATGCTCGCGAATAGCTCCTCTGAAACCACGTGAATGGAGGTGGGGGGGAGGGAGGGGAATGGAGGGGGCACGACGCAACGACACGCAGGGAGGGGAGAGATTTTACACTTGACAGGTTGGAGAAAGCGGAATTCGAAGACATCGTTTCTGACCAGCAGTTCTCCCAGCAGGCTTTAACCGACGCGCAACCGACGAGCTCACTTTTGGAAAAGTTGACTTGCTAAATACCGAAATAGTGTGATGCGTATATCAATATTAAATCACGGAAAGGTAGTTCGCTAATCCTCCCCCGTTGATTAAACTTGAGGGTTATATCGAGCTTACTGTACGGTACTCTGAGAATTCCTGCCGTCAATCGCGTCGTGTTGAAGACTGCCGCCCAATTGATGGCGCGGCCGCCCCGTGTTTGCGCCAGCGAGCCTGCATTGCAAAGGAGACCCCATATAGAGGAGCGAGACATTCGATTAATCGAACGAAGGGACACGCGTTAGCGTCGGCCGAAGCGAGTGGGACGGACAAGGCGGGAGGGAAGAAGCAGAAGAATGTGATTCACGAGAGATGGAAAATGCGAAACAGGAAGCTAACAATCAACTTCGTGAGAGGGAGTCAATATTTCTTTCGAACGTACATGAGACAGGCAGGATTAGGACGAGAACGAACATCAGCGTCGCTCTGGACGCCATCTTATCTTCCTTCACAATAAAACAGCCGACTCTCGTTCAGCAGCAAGGCGCCTACAGGCGGCTCTCTTAAAAAGGTTGACTCGTTAGTACCCTCTAATCGTCTCAACGCGCTTGACGGATGTGTGAGGCTGTGATTTCCAACTTTGGTTATCGCTGTTGGTTGCACAAATAAGGGTTGATGGCTAGGTAGTAATCTACAACAACCTAACGGTTGTGACCAAGCCAAGCAGGTGCAGCCTGCTCCGCTGCTGGACTACTCTTGAGAAAGAGCATGACCCAATTGGCTCGAGGTGGAATTTGAAAGGTGGTCATGCGGCGCGTTGAGTGCGGTTCGAGAATGTAGGATGCTGGTTTGTTGGGGGGAGGCTGGCTGGCTTGTTCGTGCGCAATATGCGGGGAGCCCCTGGCGGACAAAAGTGCTGGCGCCGAGATTTTGGATGGTAGTACGTCGCGCGCAAGGCTTCTGTTGCCACGAAACCCCGCATTTGTCGCTCGCATCAGCCTCACTTCTGCCCTTGAAGTATTGTGCGATGAAAATTTGAGGTGTTATGAATAATAACTTGGTGCGCAGAGTAAGAATGACGAGTACAAGAATGGGAGCCTAGCATTATATAGCGAGAACTCTAGCTTGGCGACGAGCCCGGAGGGCTAGGTTGGGTACAGACGCAGTCGAAAGGGCCGGAGGCGGCACGAGCCAGCCTCGGGGTCGCATCGGAAACGGACCGAGCCTGGTCTTCCGAGAGTTCGGGTGTATGCGATTGCAGTACAACCCGGTAAGGAATAAAATTCCTTACACTACCTCCCTCTCCCAAGGAAGGTGGTCACTATTGGGAACGCCTTTTCGGGTCAAATAAGGTTTGAGCACTCCTGAAGCAAGTCGGAAGTGACCCACGTGTCGTCTTCGCTTGTACGGTCGGCCCAGCGGACAAGAAAATCCACGTGGCGGCCTGTTGTGTCGAGAAGGACACGGTGACTCAAAAGCTTGAACGGCTCAATGGTCGGTTCCGCCATCGGGCGGACACTTGGGACGGCCGGCGGTCGGGCGAGTGCTGACGTGATGGCAACGTAGGGACGAAGGAGGTTGACGTGGAACGCGTCGTGAATGCGCCACTCGTCCGGTCGAAACACGGCCCAAGGTTCCAGTCGCGGATTGTGGTGATCCTTTTCGAGTCGATCTTAATGCCTTCCGCTTCGACGACGTGTCCCAAAAAATCCAGTTCAGATTTTAGGAACTCGCACTTAGAGCCTTTGCTGATGAGTCGATTCTGCTGCAGCCGTTGGAAAACCCGGTCGAGGTCCTTGAGGTGCTGTTCCTGTGTCTTGCTGAAGACCAAGATGTCTTCGAGATATCGATGACGCACTTGTCGAGTAAATCTCTGAACACGCCGTTCATGGTCAGTTGGAATGTAGAGGGCGCATTCGTGAGGCCAAACGGCATCATCGTGTACTCGTATTGCCATAGCGGGTTCGGAACGCAGTCTTCTGGCAGTCGTCAGCGAAAACTCAGATTTTATGGTAACTGCCTCGCAGGTCAATCTTGCTGAAGAAGCGAGCCCCGCGAAGTTGGTCGAGGAGATCGTCCGCGCGTGGGATTGGGTAGCGAGATTTGATGGTTATTCGATTCAGCGCCCGGTAATCAATGCACATTCGTAGCCCTCCGATTTTTTTTGGTGTGAACATAATGGGTGCTGCGAACGGGGACGTGCTGGGTCGAATGAACCCCTTCTCCAGTAGGTAGTCCAGCTGGCTTCGCAATTCCGTGAGTTCAGGCTGAGTCAGCCGCCACTGTGTCCTGACGGTTGGCTGCGCGCCAGGTTCCAGGTCAATTTTATGGTCCTGGGGGCGCTCAGATGGCAATCCGGCTGGCAGGTAATCCAGAAAAATATCCGGGTACTGTCGAATCAGCGCAGCGAGCTTGGCAGGGACACTGGCACAAATTTTGTCGATATCCTGTGGCGTGTCGTCAACCGTCGCTTCGTGCAGATGGACGGCATACAAATCAGCTCCCCGTTTATCCACTCGCTGGAGGGTGAGGGCGTTGACACGTGTCGACACCGGATCCTACCCGTGCCAGCACGGTAGTACGTGCCACCCTTTCGTACAGTGCACGCTGCATGCGCCGATTGTCCAGTCAATCCTTGGGTTGTATTTTTGCAGCCAATTGCGTCCGAGAAGGATGTCCCAGTCGTCCAGCGTCGTTGCCAGCATCGACATGCTGAATCCGAAATCATTGTCATACTTCATTTGCACCATTTGCACTCGTTCCCGAATTGCAAGTGGCGTCCCGTCCACCAGTCGCGCGTCGATTTCGGAGAGGCACTTCTCCAAAGTCAGCTTCAACTGCTTCGTTGTGGTGACGTGAATCAGGCTATGATTAGCCCCGCCATCCACAAATAACTTTTTTTTTTGCCATTCACATTGCCTTCGACCAGCACAGGGTGATCTTCAGGTTCACTCCCGTTATTCGTCAGAGTGTGGTCGATAGCATGTATCGATATCACAACTTGGTGGGAACGCTGAAGTTCGGGCGACAAAGCCTCGTCAGTAGGGGGCCCGTCTGCTACTGACTTTTCCTATTTCTCGGCTTCTCCTTGTCGTTCTTCGTCTTCTTGGGCACCGTCGGGCAGTACTTAGCTCGGTGACCTGGCTTTTTACATCTATAGCATAGCCCGTGAAATACTTTATCAGGCGCAACCATGCCATTGATCGTGGGGTGGGGAGACTGTCCACGAAAACAACCAACGTCCCTGTTGTTCTTCGTCGCCCACTGCTGCAGTACATTAGCTGCTGACGCCAGCTGGACAGCCTCATTGAACGTCTTGGGTCGGGATCGCTGCAACCCGTACTGAATGTCAAAATGCAGCCCGCTGATATATTTATCCCGCCTTTTTGCTTCGCTAAGGCCGTCCACTTGGTCCGCAAGTGCCAAGAACGACGCGGTGTAATCTTGAACAGTAGACACCTGCCGCCAGCTGCGCAGCTTCATGCGAGCGTCGTCTGAGGCGGATGAGTCCTCAAAACGAGCTCGCATTGCTGTGCCCTACTGTTTCCAAGTGCGAATCGTGGTCGTACCGAATATCGTTTCTGCCTATTGGTTTGAAGAATCCGAAGTCCCGTCCTTCGCTTGCTGTGCTGGAGTCCCAATTGCCAACTATCGTCGCCACCAATCACCGGTCCTCGGAGCAGCGACATGGCATAATTAATGTGTGCGTCATCTGCATGCACACTTGCAGCCGTGAAGAATAGCTCCATGCTGAACAACCACCCCTGCACCGTCGTCGCATTGTCCGAAGGGTTGAACGGGGGCGGCATGGCCTGCTTGAGCTTAATTTTTTTTACAGTCACAGTGCGCACGTTGTCCTGCTCCAACTCCCGTGCGAGCTCGTCATGGACGGTTTTGTTCGCCTCGTTGTTGGCTTCTGGCTTGACATAATTCTCTGCTACTCCAAGCGACTCCTGACGCACTTCACCACGCGTTTGGCGAAGCTCGATGTTCTTCGTACGAAGTCTCACGACTTCACTGTTCAAACTCGCCATCTAGGCTTGCATTGCCTGCATCTAAGCCATGATCTCGTCTAGCTGGGCTAGATTCATGATGCGAATGCTATGCCTTCCGGGCAGGGGAAAGGCCGTGCTAAGAAACCGCAGAGGGCGCAAACGCTATCGTAGTTGTGTAAGCTAATAACTCTAGCTCACGGACAACCGCTTTGCAGCCCCGCAGGGTTAACCACGCCTTGGAAATAAACTACCATGGGAAAGCGGGGTGAGCCAGGATACTAACTCTGATACCAGATGTTATGAATAATATCTGAGAGTGCGCAGAATAATAATGACGAGTACAAGAATTGGAGCCTAACATTATGTAGCGAGAACTCTAGCTAGGCGACGAGCCCGGAGGGCTAGGTTGGGTACAAACGCGGTCGAAAGGGCCGGAGGCAGCGCGAGCCAGCCTCGGGGTTGCGTCGGAATCGGGCTGAGCCTAGTCTTCTGAGAGTTCGCGTGTACGCGATTGCAGTACAACCCGGTAAGGAATAAAATGCCTTACATGAGGCTTGGTTTTGTAACCAATAACTGCATCCTTATTTCCTTGATCATGAAGCAGTCAAACTCACTCACATTGATAAAAAATCTCATTAAAAACCCGCTGCCCAAATTGCGAGGCGTTGCCTTCAAACGCACTGCGTTTGAAAGCAGTGCTTTTGCGGGTGTAGAGTGGGGTAACTATCATAAAGTCAGCAGTCCTAACCATTGGGACAAGAAGGGATGTCATCAGGAGGGTTAGGCTCCATATATCCACCTTCACCGGGGAAAGCCTCCCCAGTACCCTCCCGAGAGAGAGAGAGAGAGGATCGACAGGGTAATCCCAGTGCCAAGACACACCCCCCCCTTGGGATAGCTGTTAGACTGCTAGAATAACTAGAATGAGAGAGTACAAGGGAATATAGGCTAGTGTGTTGTACCCTCTAAGGCACAAACCTATACAATCTACAATAACATACTAAGCTATGTTTTGACACACCTACTAGACTATATAGGGGCAGTGCCTAACAACCGGACAAGCAGCTCAGGTGGGCACTACTAGTCCAGCCTCTGAGGCAAGGGTCTAAAGACCAGTCAAACAAGTACAGATCAAGGCCAGAGCAAGGCCAGGGCGGCACTATTAGTCCAGCCATTGGGAGAGCCCACAAGGCCAGTCAGTGAAAAAATATAAAGGTCTGTACACAATCAAGGCCCTAGCAAATGAGAGGCTACAAGAACAAGACCAAGCTATACACAGTGCCGCTGATGATCTTTAGGCGCAAGCGCCTTCGTAAAGATATCAGCCGTGTTGGCACCGGAGGCCAAGTGTACTACGCGTGCCAGGCGGCGCTGCTGCAGCTCGCGCATAAGGAAGTACCGCAGCTGGATGTGCTTCGCTCTACCCTCAAGTCGAGGCTCCTGACACAGGAGGATCATGGCCCTGTTGTCAGCGTATAGGACCGGGGCAGAGCTAGGCCACTCACCTAAGTCGGTGAGCAAGAAGGTCAGCCAGCGGAGCTCCTGTGCCGCCATGGCACCGGCGTAGATCTCAGCCTCGCAGCTGGACTGGGCAACAGACGAGGAGCGGGTAGCTCTCCACGAAACAACACCTGAACCAAGGCTAAAGCAGTAGCCTTGGAAGGACCTGAGGGTCTCAGCGTCGTTAGCCCAAGAAGCGTCTTTGTGCCCAGTAAGGACCACTGGCCTGCGTCCTCCCAGCACTAGCCCCATGCCTGATGTGCTCGCAAGATAACGCAAAACCCTCTTAGCGGCCGACGAGTGCTGTGGTCGGTGTCTTTCTGTGGCCACGAAGCGAGCCAGGATGCTGAGAGGGTATGCGAGATCTAGGCAAGTGCAAGTCGTCAGGTACATGAGGCAACACTCCAACTCCGCGCAAAGACCACTGGGCTCTGCTGACTCCTTAGGAACAGGAGCTGAGAGCCTGTCTGCAGTAGCAAAGACCCGGGGTCTGGAGCCTCGGACAAGAAAGCAAGCTCGTACTGTCGGTCCTCCAAGACGTCGCTGCCGAGGGCAGGAGCACCCCCGACGGATGTAGGACAGGTAGAGTCAGAGACCAGAGTGGTGGCATAGTCAAGGGGCGGGTAGAGGCGAAGTCAACGACAGCAGCGACAAGAGCGTCCAGACTGGAGACAGGAACACACGGGTCAGTAACGAGGGAGGCAAGGACCCGGGGAACAAGAGGACGAGCGGTACAAAGGTAGTCAGACAGAGGGGGAGGCGTGACAACAAGTGAGGACGGAGGAGGTGACGGCAGGAGGGGAGGACGAGACATGTGGGAACAAAGCAATATAGGGTGAGAACGCGGAACAGGGGAGACCGGACGAGCACGAGAGGGACGGCGAGACCAGACGTGCGATGGGGGCGTCGAGTCAGGAGACAGAGGAGGATAACGCAAGAGGGGAACGAGGGGGGAAGACGAGCCGGAGACGAGTCCGGAGGAGGGAACACGGGGCCGTAGATAGGAAGAGAAGGAGACGGTAGGAGAGGCGCAGACGCACGGCCAGGGGAGGGAAGGCCGAACAGGCGGAGGGCGGACATCGGCGGCGACCGGTGCTGCTGCGGCTGCATGACGCTGACGCCTGGACCGCCAGCTGCTCGACGACTACCTCCGGAACACTCCACTCCAGCACCCCCAGAACCAGAAACTATCTCAGCACCGGCACCACCCCCAGGCCCACCGGGACACGCCACGACAGGAACCCCAAGACTAGCTCCCTCCTCAACGCCAGCACCTCCACAGGGCACGCACTGCAGCTGCGGCGGCGACAACGGCGTCTGCTACTGCGGCTGCTGCGACGACGGCTGCGGCTGCGAGGGCGACGAAGGAGATACTGGGAAGGGGGAAGGCGGCAAAGACTGCGCCGCAGGGCCACTAGAGTCAGCAGAATCCTCAACCGGGACAACCGACGGGAGGGGGGTAACGTGAGACACACCGGACGGGGCAGGGCGGGGAGGTGGGGAAGCAGGGGCGACCGGGGGAGGGGGAACTAGGAACAGGGGGGAATAATTGGGGGACCTCGGTGGGGAAAACAGTGGTAGAACGAGACGGACTCATCAAAGGTAACATCGCGCGAGTGAAGGAAACGGTGAGACGGCGGGTGGTAGAAGTGCCAGTCAGACGAGTCGAGGGGGAAACCTAGGAAGACACAGAGGACGGTGCGGGCAGTGAGCTTGTCCGTGCCAGAGGCACGAACGTGAGCAAGGCAGCCCCAGACGTGGAACGCAGACGCGTCACCAGGGGACCTGATCTAGAGGAGGATCGGCGAAACCTGCGGCCACTGAGGGTGCGGCCACAGGTTAAGCTGGTGAGCGGCGTAGCGAACGGCGAACGACCACAAAGAAATTGGGTGCACTGACATGGATCATGGAGGTACGAGCCACCTCCATGACCAAACCGATGCGTCGCTCAGCGACCCCATTCTGCTGCAGGGAGTCCGGCAAGGTGAACGTCTTGGTGATGCCCT